GGGGCGGGGAAACTGCTGCCAATTTTAGTAGGTGTGGTTGTGTGCGGTTGCACAGCCGATGCATTCTTTAAATGCTCCACCTCCTTGTGCATCCGCTCCATTTTTTTTGATGGCTGTGATGGGGTAAGAGGCTTTTTATGACCTCAGAACATTGGGCAAAAGAATTCTTGTTTCAGCCTTAGAACATGCCTACGCTCGTGTGCATTTTCACTAAGTATGTACATGGGGACTGCGCCCATTCCCGTCTGTGGTCTTCTTGACTCTGACTTGACACGGGGAGGAGTGGAAGAGAGAGTGTAACAGCCTGGGGGGCCCTTTTCGAAACCGATGGTCAAAATGTTCCCATTCAAGAGATAACGCAGAGTAAACAGACGCCTCTTCTGCTACGGATGGATAGGGGGGTTTTTAAATCCTTCCGAGCTCCTCTTCAACCAGTGAAATTGGTAAAAAAAAGACAGAAAACACGGGGTTCGGAGTTCTGAAAGTGACATCACCAACAACATGATTTTAAATGCAACAAAGAGACCAGTGCCGCTGAGTTCAAAATACAGAAGTAGAAGCCTCGCTCTGGCGTATTTAAAGCTGTGTTCTTCTTCAAGTTGATGGCTATTGATCCCCAGGGAGGCCTTCTCTTTCTCAAGGATGTAGTTCAAGAATAACTTAGTCTTTCCAGTATTCATGGATATGCAAACTGACAGCGATCTCATTCAGCACCCTGCTATGGAGCACACGGTGGATCTTGTCGAAACTGACGGTCGAACGGTCGCATCTTCACTCGGTTTCACATCTCCTCATCGGAATCGCACAAATTACTCTTGTATTGTTTATTCTTATGCCAATATTTACCATACGGGCACCAGTCCTAGTTAAAAGCCCAGACACTTGTTTTTTTTATGTTTGCCACTGCATGACACAGCTGCGAGGAGTTCGGTTCATAAACTGGCCCCCAGCATACCCCGTGTGCTTTTTAGTGGACAGTTCATTTTTGAAAATGTAGATGATTAATCTCCTCTGAAATTAATTACTTACTTGGATTAGATGAACATACGTTAAGCGGCTACAGGCGCAGACCAAAATTTGGTATGAATATTTGGGTCTACGTCTATCAGCCACTGTTTGATAATCTAAATTTATTTCTGGGGACATTAAAAAAAAACTATCAATTCAAAACTGGAGTTTATACCAGAAGGCACATAGGGAATGCTGGGGCACCCACTGATTAGCCGAAACCCTTGTAGCTGTACCATACAGCCATAGGATACCGGCGAAACGCGTGTCTAGGCTTTTATCTAGTACCCGTGCTTTCGTCAGTATGGTAAATAATTACCTTATTTGCTCTACCGACGGCATGTTGACGCGGTTATCCCTTAGTGGCTGAATGATTTTGGTCCTATTTCACATTTTAGTTTGCATCTGTACATCACTGGATATACTGATACACTCCAAGTTAGAAATTGATTTTGTGTGAAAGTTGAAAGTAACAATTAAATTGTTTATTTTGACGGAGCGTTGTCACTGAAAACGATTTTTGCTTAGCATCAGCTGCTTTTGTCTCACAATTGTCCTGCTTGAGTTCTCAACTCTCCGAAAGTCCAAAGTCAGTTTAATTGTTCCTCTTGATGGACCTTAAACATACATAAAAATCACGGCGTTTGTAGCAACACTTAGTCTATCCGATCAGTTCTGCAAAGTACATACCAGTGCCAGCTGGCAGTCAAATTTCGGCTTGCCGTGTTCCTATGTTTTACGGCCGAATTCCAGAGGTCAGAAGTTGAAACTTTTTATTGCCCTAAACGTTGCGCTTTCATTAAAAACATTGAAAGCATTCCGCTTTACTTCACATGATTTGCCTCGATGGAGAAAAAGCGATCGCCTGATGCGTCTGGATTAATACGCGTCCAGCCGCATCTAGTAGGCGAATATGCCCTCTAGATTGGCCGTGACAGGGTACACGGAAGCCCTTTTTTAGTTTATTGGTCTGCATAATCAATTAGATGTCGTAAGGTGTGTTTTTTTAACATTTAGTTCTTTGATAAATGAAGGTTCTTCCGATCATCGAAAGTTCGTCTCGTGCAGAGAGCCGATGGAAGGTATACCTGAGAATACCGGATAATTAATCTCCTTATCCAGTACGAGCGGCGAATGACAAGTGATCCACGTTCATACTGTTTTTCTTCACCCAGTGCCCTTTACATCTGGTCTTAGAGAAGAAGACTTAATTCGAGGAATGTGTCCAGCGGTGTATCCTGGTTGCGGAATATAAATAAACTCCAATTCCGCAACTCCGAGTCCAAATAGAAATAACTACTTTAGTCTACTAAGTAGGATTAATCTATGAGCATCAGTCTCATGTGAATTTGCACACGTCTGATCTCAATCAGCGGACGGGAAGGCTCCTACTGCCATATATCTGCAGTAATCCGTTGCGTCAGCAAGCGGGATTGTTTTATAATTGGGTGAGGACTGCAAATAAACCCACTATGGCAATCGCAGTGTCCCAGTCCACCACTTGGGGCTGGGTATGACTGGCTGATGACGGCTAATAAGCCATAAATGGCCATTCTGGTCTCCCTTGTCTTTGTCGGCAAAGAGCATCTGCCTAAGACTACTAGCCGCTGCGGCTGCTGTCAGGGCCCGAAAAATGGGACCCAAGACAGAGCGAGGCAAGTGAGTTCCGTTAGCGGTCGGTGAACATTCATCAACGAGTGTAGATACGATACATCTGCAAATGTAGTCGGTATCACTGTAACAGTTGTGTTTATCGAAGGCATTGGATTCATCCCCAAACCCGTCGTTGTGGATAATGGCAGATAAGGGTAGCGAAAACAAAGGGGGTTACAGGCAGTTTCCATGTTCCTGCCTGCGCATAAGACGTGGCTTCCGTATTTATAGCCCATGGTTGTACTTTCTGTGATAATTGCTTCATTGACCTCAGCCTAGCTGTCGCCTGACTCAATTTTAACATTTGTGTTGTATATTAGTGTAGTAATAAATCAATAATTTGACTCGACGACAATGTTTTTGAAAACTGTATTTGTTCGCGTGCTTCCTGCCTGATTAACCATTCTGCTCTGGCAAATTTTCAGTACCTAATCGGGATGGGGAAGGTACTGCACTCGTTAATGAACTGAAGGCCGCGGCACCATGACTCGAGTAGTCTGCGGCTTATAGTATTGTCAACTATAGCAAGAAATTCGGTTTAATGAATTCACTGCTGCCACGTGCTCTGTCATACGCGTCAATATTACTCGTCCAGTTAGAACCAAATTGTATTGACCTACTGACGGGTTCGGATGGGAAGCCGAACCGTCAAGCTAATAAAATTTCTGCTCCAGCAGTCGCATTATCTTCTTCAGAATTATTTGCTATACCAACTAAAAGTTGACTATGCTAGTCGCAGCACTTCCCAGACTCGCCTATTTTGGCATCTTCCTCCCTGCTTTTGAGCATATCGGTCGATATCCACGTTTCACAAGCACAACGGCCACTGAGAAACCCGGCACATTTGCTTATACTGTGTTATTGTGGGTACTGAGAGCCGGTACTCAGCTCCTTCTGCAAGCAGTTCCTATACGACATCTGTGGTGCAAGTCTTAGGCTATCCTGTTTTACCGTGCCTGAGAAAGTAGCCAGCTGACGAATTTACCAGATACCCCATTGGCCCGGTGTGGTGTGTGTTTGTAGTAGGTGGTGAGTTGCTGAAGGCGGCCGACAGCTAGGCGGTTGCCTGTTGCTGGCGGCGGGGGAGAGAGTG